GTCCATGGGGCCGGATGGGATCCACCCAAGGGTAGTGAGGGAAGGGAGGAAGAGCTCGCCGAGCTCTCCATCATTTATCAGCATTCCTGGCTAGGGGGGAGGCACCAACTCATTGGAGGTCGGCAAATGCAACATCCATCTGCAGGAACAGCTGGAAGGAGGATCCCAGGGAATTACAGGCCTGCCAGGCTGGCCATGGTACCTGGAAAAGTCATGGGGCAAATCATCTTCAGTGTCACCACTGAACAGAATAACCAGGGGATCAGGCCCAGCCAGCATGGGTTTAGGAAAGGCGGGTCCTGCTTGAGCACCCTGATCTCCTTCTATGACCATGTGACACCTTAGTGATCAGGAATAGGCTGTGGATATTGTCTACCTGGACTTCAGCAAAGCCTTTGACACGCTTTTCCTACAGGATTCTTCTGGAAAATCTGGCAGCCCATGGCTTGGACAGGTGCACTCTTGGCTGGGTTAAGATCTGGATGGATGGCCAAGACCTGAGAGTGGTGGTGAATGGTGGTGAATGGTGCCACATCCAGTTGGCAGAGAGTCACAAGGGCGGGTTTCCCAGGGCTCAGTGTTGGACCCAGTCCTGTTTAGTATTTTTATTGGTGATCTGGATGAGGGAATCAAGTCCACCCTCAGTAAGTTTCCACATGACACCAAATAGGGAGGGAGGGTGGATCTGCTGGAGAGTAGGAAGGCTCTGCAGAGGGATCAGGACAGGACGGATCGATAGACGGAGAGCAATTGTTCAACAAGACCAAGTGCCAGATCCTCCATCTGAGTCACAAGAAGCCTCTATAGCACTACAGGATGGGGGCAGAGTGGCTGGAGAGTGGCCTGGCAGCAAAGGGCCTGGGGGTGCTGGTCAACAGCGACTGATCATGAGCCAGTCTGTGCCCAGGTGGGCGAGAAGGCCGAAGGATCCTGGCCTGTACCAGTAATAGTGTGGCCATCAGGACCAGGGCAGTGACCAACCACTGTACTCAAGGGGGTCACTGGTGAGGCCACACCTCAAATCCCATATCCAGTTCCAGGTCCCTCACTACAAGAAAGACATTGAGGTGCTGGAGTGTGTCTAGAGAAGATCAGTGGAGCTGGGGAAGGGTCTCAAGTCTGCTGAGGAGCACCTGAGGGAGCTGAGGATGTTTAGCCTGGAGAAAAGGAGGCTGAGGAGGGACCTTCTCACTCTCTACAGCTGCCTGAAAGGAGGTTGTAGCCAGGTGGAGGTTGGTCTCTTCTCCCAGGCAACAAGTGACAGGACAAGAGGAAATGGCCTCAGGTTGTGCGAGGGAAGGTTTAGATTGGTTATTATTGGAAGTTCACAGAAAGGGTTGTCAAATATTGGAACAGGCTTGACAGTTCCCAGGGAAGTGGTGCAATCACCACCCTGGAGGTACTGAAAAGATGCGTAGATGTGGCACCTGGGGACGTGGCTCAGTGGTGACTCAGCAGTGCTCAGTTAATGGCTGGACTTGAAGATTTTAAGGGTCTTTTCCAACCTAAACAATTCTAGAATTCTGTGAGATGTTACAGATAACAAATACTGATACAACTCCATTCACACTCTCCTGTCCGGTCAGTTGTTTCAGTGCAGCTGGTTGAGAGAACTAATCCAGGTTACAAATACTTGTTTTTAAACAAGTTTTGTGTCTAGATTGTTTTGTTAATTGAATATACAGCACATGGCTTTGCAGAGTTTAACAGGTGGAGTTAGAGAGCAGGTACTGGGCAGGAGAACTGAACAGCTCAGGGAAAGAAAGCGGGCAAAACACTGAATGGTTTTGTCACCAGGGAACTGTCACCCTGCACTGCTTAAGTTAAGCCTGGAATGAAGTGTCCATACCTTTCATGGCCAGACTAAAGCTCTGGCTAAAATTCTGTAATGTCTGTAATGAATATTATGCTCTCAAAATGACCCCAAGGGATGTCTAGAAATATTGCAGTGACACGTGGGGAATTTGAAATACTAACATTTATGGTATGGTATTACTTGTAATTAATTTTTGTTAATATTTATATTTTTTGTTCCAAGCATTCGGTTTTGAGGACAAGGGAACTTTTGCTCTAGTGATTAAAACAAAATTAAAAAAAAACAACCCTGGAAGTTTTTATTTTTAAATCTCAGCAGTAATAAAGACTCAGAGTGGGAACATGCAAAAGGGGTTTCATGAGGTAAATACTCTAATTAGGATTAAAAAAGCAGTTTGGAACAATAATTCTATTAAAGATCAGTTATGCTAAATTTTTTAATGACATAGAATGATACCAACTTACTATATAATTTTTTTTATTCTTTAGGTAGCACCCAATAAAGTACTTCTTATCCCTAGAGAAAAGAATCATAGTTCCTGATCTGCTAATCGAAAGGGGGAAAGCTGTATAAAATTAGTGCTGTTTGTAAGACTTTCTGAATTATGTGAGTTAGATCCCACCTGCCCAGACTGCAATGCCCTTGGTCATGAAATCCTCACGAGTTTGTAAAGTGATTCTACTTGTATTAGGAATCTACTTTCCATGGATGTCTATAACTCCATTTTGGTCAAACAGCTCTTCTAAAAATTATGAAACCAGAGAACAACACTGAGTTCAGTGAGAATTTTATATTTCCCAAAAAACTGTTCACAAGCAAGTGCAGGAAACTTACATGCAGTAGAGGGCATGTGTAGTGTGTAATTAATAAAGAACCCAGACAGGTCATTTGGGTTGGTTTCCTCAATTCTACAGCAAGCGTACACAAAGGTGAAGTTGTTGTTTTTTTTTTTTTACAATATTTCTTACAATATTTAGTTTGTAATATCTGTGAGTTCTGCTCTTCTGCTAGAATGCTTTATGCACTTTACTTCATGAAATGCTAAAGGATTTTTGTCTTAAAATATTGGTATTCTAATAAAAATCAGTCAGGTTGGAAATCCAAGCACTAGAAGCTCATTAAGCATCTAAATCAAGAGGCATACCTCTGCTTTTATCTCTTGCTGATATTTTTTTGTTGCAGATCCTTAGGTCATGATCACATACTTTACTGTTTTCTGTCAGAGGACAACTGCTTTATTTAGGCAATTATTGTGTCTCCCCTCTACGGAGCTTTGCATCCTCCCTGTGGCTCAGTTCATTTTGTTCTGGGTGCTTACGGGGCATTTATATTGATTTGCTGCTTCAACAGAAACGGCTTTATTTTCTCAAAATGCTTGTGGGGAAAAAAAGGGAAAGTGAAACACTGAAGTTTAGGATAAAAAGTTTCCCTAACTGGATCCACTCAAGGTAAGGCATGTTAGGATAAGGGTTTTAAAAGCAAATTATCACATTTAAGCACAGATGCTAAAATTTTCAACTCTAGAAATGCATGATGTTTTTCAAAGCACATTGCAAATGCCATGGTGAGCAAGCAGAAAAGGAAGACACAAATAGAGAATGTTGTTTCTATATCATAAATGAACTCTGTGAGAAAAACCTGTTCCTTATTTCCCTCCATAAAACCTCATGTTTACTTCTCAGTATTTTCCAGCTTCTGTAACAAATGGTGCAGAGTCTTGTTTTACAGACTGTGCTGTGTAACCCTCATTCATATCTAGGTCAGGTACGTCAGCAATGCTGAATGAGTCAGAGATCCTGCTCAAATGCAGTGTGTGACTGTGTGATGTTAAAGATTCCCAGAAATAGCTTATGCAAAACCAAATGGAAATGGAAGCTGTGTGAGGCAGTGCTAATTCTAACTTCTGATTGATTTTACTACCTTAATTCTTTGGGACTGCTCTTCTGGAACAGCCAAGCAAGCTGCACTCTGGTTTCACATTTGGGAATACCCTTTTTCAGTGAAGTGTTTTTCCAATTTGTGAATAAAGCCAAACCAAGTAACTGGGAAAAGGTGTAGTCAGCACCTGCTGTGCCCTCAGTAAGGGCATCCACACTCCCTTCCTGGATTCTGGCTCCACAAACAGGCTGAAACCCTGTGCTGCACTGAACTTGCTCTATATGTGAACTTTGCATTCTCTGGTGGACTTTTTTACTACCATTATTATTATACAAGAGTTGGTTCCGGAGAAGTCAACTGATACCAGCCAGACACAGAGTCTACAACAAGGAGCTACTCAGTGGGCTGTAGAGAGGGAAGTGGTGGCTGTATTTGATGAACACTTGTGTGTGCAGGAGCTTATCGGCAAGTTCCTGGACCGACGTTGGGGTAAGAAAGTGCAGAAAGCACCTGGAAAGAGCACTTAAGAAAAACAGGAAAGATATTCCTGAGAGTGAAAACTGGGGTTGGGAAATGAAAGGCAGCAAAAGAGGTCAGACAAGGAGATATGCAGGAGGGACAGGGAAAGCATGGGTAGAGTGGGCCTTGAGTTTAGTCAATAAAGAAACTGTGACAGAATGAGATGAACAGACTTGGATCAGGTTCTCCCTTGAGTTGGGAGCTGTTCATAGAATCATAGAATATCCTGAGTTGGAAGTAACCCACAGGGATCACTGAATTCTAGCTCCTGGTCCCGCACAGGATAGCCCCAAGAATCACTGCTGTCTGCTCTGGGAGGGCCCTCACAATCCATGCTGGTTATCCCATGGCCTGGATCCATGTTGTATGTGGTGTAGCTGAACTCTGCTGGTGACAAGTTATGTGGGTTCTGATGACATGTGGGGGAATTTCTGGAAGAACTTGTGGGTATTTTTGTTTTAACTGTGAAACTGGTGATTCAGAGCTGCAAAAATGTTGCTTTATGTGGTTCTGTGACCTGGCCAGGCACCCCAGCAGTAACAGCTTTTCTCCTCTTCTGACCTCCAACAGACAGACCTCCCAAGACATTTTGACACCAAAGCTCAGTGACTGCAATTCTGATTTGTTCCCTTTGGTAAAGAATAACCCTTTTTTAAACAGGCTTGTGATTGTGCAAAGCAGAACTGCATGCAATATCTGTATGTAAAAAGTAACAAACCACGTGCCATATTGATGCTCAACCAGTGGTTCTGTGTGAAAGATTCGGGACAAGTGCTTTTCTTGGCAGGAAAATCCACCCTACTTCCTGTAGTGAGGCTCAGTGACTCAAGGACCGGAGAATGTTCTTTCAATGCCAAGGTAAGGATGAATATTACTCATGCCATAAAAGAGCACAGTCCATTCCTTTCATGGGCACTGTGTGCCTGAGCATAAGTGTGTCTTCATCTTTATTGCTCCTAATAGGAAACATTCTCCAGAAGATACGTGCAGTAGTGACTGTGGATGGGAAGAGGGGCAGAAAGGGGCATTAGGAGTCCAGGAGGTGAAGAGGGCAAGTCAAGGCAGCATTCCTAAATGTTGCTTCTCATGAGGTCAGAACACCCATGATGAATCTCTCTAAAGTTGCTCTGTCATTCAGGTCAGAGGAGGCAAAGAAATTTCACAGAGGAGCGATCGCAGCCTCTGGAAAGGTCAGGTCTTTCTGTTCTGCCTTCTGTTAGGGTCTCTGACATAAATTCTAAGGAACGTGTCCCAGTAAGACTTGTCTCATCTAAGTTATCGTGAGCAAGAGGCGCAGAGATGGGGTGCACACTGGTAGAGCGCAGCTGCCCAGTCAGTCTCTGCTGGGGGCTAAGGCTCAGCCTGGCCCTGGCCAAGCCCTCCTGGCAACTGTAGCAACTGATGTACAAGACGCAGTACAAGGCTGGTTGGAGCTGTTAAGGAGCAAGACACCATCTAGGACAGGTGACTGTGTTTTACACACAAATGATTTCACTTCCTTGCACTTGCCTTTGCACACCCATGAGCACCAAGGGTATTTGTTCAGGTAGTCCTGCCAGAATTACCTGTGGCGACATGGAGGACAAGGGACACAGTCCCCTGGGTCCCTGTGATCATGGCTCCTGGTTGTTCCTTGACTGTCAAGCTTGTGTTTGGATGTGTCTTTTGTGCTCTTTAGGAGCTGACAGTAATTTTCATCTTCGGCATGTTCATCTCAGCCCACCCCACGAGTCATCAGCAACGCTGCTGATTTACCCTCTCGTGTCTTCTCTTGGGGCTCTTCCCTCTGCATTCCTGATCTGGGTGTCTGGAGGATGTGCCATGGTACTGATGACCTTCTTCAGCTCCTCCTGCTCCCAACACTCATGCTTCCATTCATAATAATGTTTCTGTTGGAAATCTCTGCACTCCCACTCCTGCTACATCCTTGACTGCAGGTTCCCATAGATCCCGGTGAGTTAAATAACAGGCACCCACCTTCCCGTTGGCTCCAGGAAGAGAGAGAACTTTGTTCTCTATCTTCTTTAATACCAGCTCCAAGGGCATTTGCTTCGATGAGCCCATATATAAGTTGGATTTTTCTGTCCAGGCCAAAAGACGCTTCTGAGGACAAAGAATATGGTAAAACTGTGAGGCTGTCTGTTAGGCTAAACACTGGGATTAGTTCAGCATCCAGCAGAGAAAGCTAGGAAAAAGAAAAAAAACCAAAAAAACCAGACAAAAACAGTGATAAAGAGGATAGTTGCAGACACTAGCCCCCACTATTTTTTGAGATGAGGTGGTAGTTGAGAGGCTGCTTCCACACCAGGAAGATCAACAACTGTAATGTTGCAGTGAAACACAGCAGGATCAGAAAACGCCGAAGTGATGGCAGAGATCAGTCCCAGGGCTGTAGTGAATCTGTTTTGGGGCTAAGGAGTCAATGTTAGCAATACAGATGATCCTACAGGTGTTTTCTGTATTAAAATCTGTTTTGTTGGACTAAAGCATATATAACTTACGTGGCATTTTGCCCATGGCTGTATTTTTCTTGTCACAATGAGATATAAAGGGTGACATTTAAAAATATTTTTATAAGCTGTTTCTCAGTTAATACACATGCACTGTTTCTCTTACAACAGGAAATTATTTAGGTTTATTACTGTAATTAATACTGAAATGAATTGTTGTTTTCACACTTTTTACTTTTTATTTAATTGAGTACATCTGCAGTATGACAGAAAAAAATATAATTCTGTGAATGCTCTAGGAAGGATAATGAGATTCCTAGACAGCCATTTGTACTGAAATTAACTATTGTAACAGGCATGAAATTTAATGTTAAGTTCATTAATATTGAATACATGCAATAGTTTATTTAAGATTTAAGAGTGAAAGTGATAAAACTGATAATCAGTAGTTAAACAGCCCTTCTCAAATCTTCATTCGCGAAGCCTAGCCATGAAACCAGAAAAACATAAGACAGAAGTGGGTGTTTATGGGTATTCCAGTGGCACAAGTGCTGTACCATGGAAGTGACTTTCCAGTTCCTATAAAGAAAAAGCTGAAGAAACAATTGAATACACAAATTCCTAACACGAGAGCTGGATCAAAGAGTTTGATTCAGCAGACTCTTGGTATATGTTGGCCTACTGCTCTTCAACACAAAGGTGAAACTTCTGAAAAATAAACTTATAATATATATAATAATAAACAGTCATGGGCTTAGGCACAAGGCTCAGCATTCCGCTGAGCAGCCCAGAAAGCAGTGTGGGCAGCAGCTTGAGGAAGGAGATTCTGCCCCTCTACTCTGCTCTGGTGAGACCCTGCCTGCAGTCCTGCTTCCAGCTCTGGGGTCCCCAGCACAGGAAGGACATGGACCTGTTGGAACAAGTCCAGAGGAGGCCAACGAGTTGATTAGAGGGATGGAGCACCTCTCCTACAAGGAATGGCTGAGAGACTTGGGATTGTTCCTCCTGGAGAAGGCTTTCAGGGTGACCCTAATTGCAGCCTTCCAGTACCCAAAGGGAGCCTAAAAGACAGATGGAGAGACTATTTACAAGGGCTTGGAGCGGCAGGACAAGTGGGAATGGCTTCAAACTGAAAGTAGGTTTAGATGAGGTGCTAGGAAAAAATTCTTTACTGTGGAGGTGGTGAGGCACTGGAGCAAGTTGCTCGCAGAAGTTGTGGCTGCCCCATCCCTGGAAGTGCTGAAGGCCAGGTTGGATTTGGCTTGGAACAACCTGGTCTGGTGGAAGGTGTCCTTGCCCATGGCAGGGGGGTTGGAACCAAACAATCTTTTAGGTCCCTTCCAACTCCAGCCATTCCATGATTATTTTGTAGTAAATACGCTGAAGCACCAAGTTCATGAAAACACTTTTTTTTTTTTTTTTTTTTTTTTAACCAGAAGTGGCAAATTAAAGCACCTTTGGCATGGCGGGGCTGTGTCAGCCTGATCTGTGCAGCCCAGGGGTCCTGCGGCAGACGGGAGAGATCACGGAAAGGTGTCCCGGTTATCCTGGTGTCCCTCAGCCCACAGAGGGGTGTCCCAGCTATCCCCGCGTCCTTCACTCCATGGCGGGGTGTCCCGGTTATCCCGATCATCCCCTGTCCCTCAGCCCATGGCGAGGTGTCCCGGTTATCCCGGTCATCCCCTGTCCCTCAGTCCATGGCGAGGTATCCCGGTGATCCCGGTTATCTCGGTTATTCCGATTATCCCTCATCGCGCTCCCACCGCTCCCTCAGCCCGCAGGAGGCGCCTCAGAGCGCGGCGCGGCCGCCACTGCGCATGCTCTGCCCCGCCCCGCCCGCGCCGCCACCGCCGTGTCTGCCGCGGCAGATTCGCCATAACGCGAGGCGCGGGGAGCTTTTTTTTTTTGTTCTTTTTCCCTTTATCCACCACTCTCTTTCCCCAGCGGGCCGCGCTCGGCTCCTGACCCGCCGTGCCGCGGTGCCCCCGCCGCGATGGAGGCGGCGGCCGCAGGTGAGCGGGGCCGGGCCGGGCGGGCGGGGGAGCGCGCACGGATCCGCGCGGGGGGGGATGGGGCGGTAGTAGTTCCGGCGGGTCGGTCGTGACGCTCCTTCCGCACGACAAGTAGTTCCCGCGGCGGCGGCTGCCGCTCCCCCAGCCCCAAAACACATCACCCCAAAACACGTCGCTGCCGGGGGGGCACCGGGGCTGTGGGTGCTCCGGAAAGCCGCCGGAGAGCCGTGGCAACTCGGGAGCACCGCGGTGCTGCGGCGGCCCGTCCCGAGGCTCGCGCTCAGGAGCGAGTCGGGAATACGAGGGAATGAGCAGCTGGAGCTGCTGTTGGGACTGAAATGCTGCATGGAGACATCGTAGCAGCCTTCCAGTACCTGGAGGGAGCCAGAGGGACTCTTGGTCAGGAACTGTAGTGACAGGACAAGGAATAATTGGTGCAAAGTGAAAGAGGGGGAATTGGGGCTGTATATTGGGATGAAATTCTTTCCTGTGACGGTGGTGAGATATTGGAACAGGCTGCCCAGGGAAGCTGTGGATGTCCCATCCCTGGAAGTGTTCAAGGACAGGCTGGATGAAGCTCTGAGCAACCTGGTCTTGCATGACGTGTCCCTGCCCATGACAGGGGTTGGGACCAGAGTTTTAAGGTCCCTTCACGTTGTATTATTCTGTTTTTCTGTGCACATCGGGGTTTAAAACACTCATGCAGCTCCTCTGGCAGATCCTGTAGATAGTGTAAACCAGGTGGGTTTTGAATGTCTCCAGAATGGAAGACTTGATGACCTCCCTGGGCAGCTGTTCCAGTGCTCTGCCACCCTCACAGTGAAGAAGTTCTTCCTCATATTGTGGTTAAATTTTTTGAGTTTCATGTTGTGGCTATTACTCCTTAATGGTGGCTTGAGTAGTAAACTATCCATAAATACTCCATAGGATATATATAATATATTAAAAAATGCAAGATTCTAAAAATTAAAATGTCAGCTCAGTGAGTGACAACTGAAAGCCAAATCTGAGTCTACAGGGCAATTAACAGGCATTCAGTTATTGCAGCACCACTTCACAAACTTGTACTGCAACAGCACACAGGGGTTGTGAAACATAGAAGGCACTTACACAGCCCTGCTAAGGCTGTCACCTCTGTGCAACTTCACTCGCAGGTGTAAGGCCTGTGAAATCCAGGGCAGTAAATGGCACGAAAAGGCCTGAGACAACAGTGCAGGGAAAACATCTCTGACTCGGTATCTGCGTTCTGCAGCTGAACTCTGAGGCCCTTGAGATATTTACACTATCTACAGGAGCTGCCAGAGGAGCGCACAAGTGTTTTAAACCCAGATGTGCACAGAAACACAGAATAATACAACGTGAAGGGTTACCTGTTCCAGATGATCCTGCCTTGGCA